CTAGTTGTGATCTTAGATGAAATGAAGCATGGAATGTATTTAGAAAATTGTATAAATTTGCAAAACATCGTCTGTTTTCTAACGATAAGCACGACGTCTTTCAAACGTTATCGCAATTGTGACAAAAAACATTTTCTACGCACTCCTATCGTATAAAGTAAAACACAGCGTTTCGAAGAACCATAGAATTTGAGAACATGTTAGCCTGAATTTTTCCTTTTAAGTGCCCTTCACATAGAAACAATTTCAGCTTGAATTTTTTTTAATTCGGACGAATCAGATACACGATCATTATTCGTACATTTGTGTGGAGGGAGAGCAACATAGTTTCTGTCCTCTAGAAGTCTTTTTTTCAGTTTTGTACACAATAATTAATACATAGACGAATACACACAAACATTGTTTACATTTTTGAAGAAGGAAAGCAATATAGTTGCAATCCTCTAGATTTTTTTCAGATTTAAACACAGGAAAAAAATGGTACAATTATTTGAATACTGGAGTATATGAATTCAGTTTGCTGCCATGAAATGACCTTTTAGAGCTAATTCAATTGTTTTCCATTTTTCCTTGTGCTTTTCAACCATGCTGTTCTTTTTATCTATTTGGTATGTTCTGTATTTCTCTTTTGCCTTAGTGCAATCAAAAAAACATTAAACTTGGCCTCTTCATTTCTCTTTTTCCATATATTCTACAAATATATGATGAGTAGTTTCCGAGTAAATAGAACAGAAAGACCAAGAGGAGTGTTCAAGAATTTTAAGATTTCTAAGTATAAAAAGTCAATATGTTTTATTTTGTAAACAATACAACAATATAGTACTGACTGTGCATGTTTGAGTGCTTACACTGTGTTTGCACGCTAAAGGCGATTTTTTCGATTTTTGCGGCGCGATAATTGTCACTTTGCTATCGCGCAACTATAAACAGCCTTGCGATTGTTTGCATGCGGCGATAAGCGGCGATAGGAAATCGCTGCGAAATTGCATTCTTCTTCTTATTATTATTATCATTATTATTCAATTTCAAGCATGTTCGAAGTATTTTTGTTATTACCAAAAATTAAGAACCCATTTAGAGATCCTGATTCTGTTCAAAAATATAACGTGCGTACACGCGACAACCAATCGAACAAAATCGACGCGATGGTTCAGTCCCATTTCCCTTGTCTAAGGAACACCGAAGCCCGCGCAGTGCTCCGTGTGCTCCGATATAGAACTGATACTGATTCCAGTACAGAAATATTATATAAGCTAGTGCAAACATGGAAGCGATTAGGGACAGCCTCAAGCCCATGAAATCACGTGTCACAAAAGCACAGCACGACGTCATTTCAGAAGTTGGTCGCAGGCCCTGCCTTCTCGGGAGTCCTTCTGATAAACTCGACCTTTGATGACTCGCTAACGAGAGCTCTCGAAGCCTCTGGAACATCAAAAACTCCGAGTATTTTTCCAAAATGCGTCCATTCAACCTTGTGCACACATCAGTCCACCGCCAGTCAAATGCTTGATACTGTATTTGTGAATTATTTTGTATGAAAAGATCGTACTCAAATCAAAACATACAGCTACTGACCTTAAAATACTATGAGGCACGTAGAAAATATTATAGTTTAATTTATATAAAACAACTGCAACGACGCAATGGTCCTAAAATTCATGTAGGTTCTGTAGAGAGGTGCCCGTCGTCATAGTTACACAGCTAAAATGTTCAGTCCAAGTTCTAATAAAATGTAACCATTTTTAAAATTTCTTCATATTTTCCAGCAAACATGGACATGCAGAAAAGATTTCCTGACATTGTGAACGCTATTTCATCATACAAACTTACACAAGGCGTTCGCACTGAACAGCACTGGAAAAGCTTAAAACAATTGAACAATGCGCGCCCTCACCACACCTGTACCTTTGAAGAAAAAGACGAAATAGGAGAGTTTTGTGTTTCACAGGGTCTTCCCAAAAGGATTGTAAAAGACCTGAAAGAGTTCCAAACTTTGTTTAACGAATCGCCAAGCAACGTCATTAGCTCTCTATGGAATAATATATATTATTTGCTCTTGACTACTCTCAATTACACCGATGGAGAGAGACCTGTTTCCAAAGGTCTTGTAGATCATGGAATTGTGCCAGTTTTGATATTCTTCATAAAAAAAATTGATTTGAGGGGGAAGGTAAGTCGCACCAGTTTATAGTCTCCTTTTAGCGGACACTTAGGACCTTACAGAATGTCCGTTGTAAATTTAGTTCTTTCAACCTTCCACCAGCATAGGGGGTTCCTTGAAGTGTCTGTAATACTTAAGGATGCCCATATCGAGGTGTCCACAAGGCCAGTGCTGCTACATTTCAGGGTAGACATTTCTTCGTGGATAATGAATACTCTAAAAGCCGAATCAGTCGAAACACAAGCGATTTCCCCAATTATGTACCTATAATTTTTAACAAATAGGCACCACAATTCATCCAAGAGTTTTATAACAGGGCTCTTTGCAACCCACTACCCCTGACTCCAAAACAGTGATCAAATCACCCAAAGAGCATTCATTACCTTCGCGTGAAACACATCGAGGGGGTCTTGGCAAGCAATATGCACATTCTGCGCACTATCAAACTCGATGCATTCCAGCCTAAAATGCTTTTTTAAATAACACTGTGATAATTTCAGAGTGACGATTCTCGCGAAACTTACATCGTAAAACTTTGCGTTGAGATGATGGTTAACATGTCGAGGGTAGTACCACCTCAAGCACTGAATAATACCGGGGTCGTAGACGCCCTTATTCCCTTCGTTAAAAGTCCGAACAAGTCTATGGCTGTACCGGCTCTGGTTGCATTAGCTGCGATAGTGGATGAGGATCAGAATGATTTATTGATGGCTAATCCAGGTGAACAGTCAATTTTGTTTTATTATTTATTATGTTTCTATAGAGAGTTTTAGATCACGTTAACTGTCCTTACGAACGCCAAACTTCAAAACTAATTAGAGTCAATTTCGTATGARTGGGAAACGGACGGTACTGTACTGTAACCATAATCGTACTGTAACCAAATTCTAGTGTCTCATTGCTCTGCATTGCTTCACAAAAATTGTGCAGGCCAGTTCCGGTAACTGTGCTGTAACCGTGCGGTAATTTCTACCGTACGTTTCCCACTCATACGAAATTGACTCTAGTGAACACTGTCAGTTTCTTGTATATTAAGGGTGTACTGACATATCCGTTGCTATACGACCTGGCTGCTATGGATCGCTATGCAGCCAATCAGAGAAGAGCGCGCGCGCGCGTTTTCATGCCGGGAATTTTTTTACTTCCGGCGGAAATATTTTTGTTTACATAAAATGTATGGTATCCTTTAAAAAATAAAATCTTCGGCGCGCGGAACATCAGATGGACGTGTTTTTTCGGTTTTTATGTTCTTTACAGCCTCCTTTTTAGAACCAAGCATGGGTTTGCCGAAAAATTAAGAAATACGAAAGTTATTGGCATTTTTCGCTTATTTATGGGATTTAAAAAATCATAAAAAGCTTATTTGGCAATCATTCTAAAAACGCATACTTGCATTTACGGACTTAGATATGAAGATTCTTTTCATCCATTTTAAATCGTTTATTTTACTTTGCTTGATGAAATTATAGCCTTTTTTCATATTTATTACGTCACGTGATGACGTCATACCCCAACGTCATGGAATACCTTATTTTTCTTTGGTAAGGCTAAATACCAAATATGAAAGCGATTTTCCTTTTTTTAGTCATTTTAGAGAACTACTGAATTTCCCTAGCAACGGATATGTCAGTACACCCTTAACGGTCCACTCTTTTGCGTTGATATATAAATTTGAAGGTTTTTTTACTGGTCCTTTCTAAGCGTTTGTTTTGAGTTTTCATGTAATCAAAGCCTTAACTTTAAAGAGGCTTTCGATGTTCCAAATTGAATCCAAATCTCCGACAACCCGGCTACAGCATTCATATGTCTGGAGTGCATGATATATTTAATAATATGTTTGATACGTCCTTTCCAAAGAACCAATCAAGTTGATCATAGATTTGCTGAAAACTGCATTGTGTTCCGAAGATCATCGTCTTGTGGGGGGAACTCAGTGGTCTGCATACGARTTGGGGGATGGATTGAGCCAAATAGCCGTGAACGACAAAAACAAAATCCAGGTTGAGTTAACGCTTTTTTTGTACTATATGTTGGTTTCATTTAAAAAAAATGCAATCAAACGAAAAGTAGTTTGCATCCACGTGCCGATTGCTTCGTTCCACTGTAGATCGTGAGGCAAGGAGGACTTAAAGTTTTAAGTGAGTTTTTGATGAAAGCTAAAGACACCGTTGAAGAAGCCAGTGCAGCAAAATGTTTTTGGATGCTTGCGTTTAACGAGGACAATGTGAAAAAGATTAAGGAATTTCCTGGTAAGTTCCGGAATTTCAAATTTTTCGTTCTCAATCACCAGGTAGTTTTAAAATTTCAAATTCAACGTTCTCAATCATTAAACTGACTTTAAACCTGTTACAGAGACTAAGGGATGGGCTACCTATACAGAAACATTATTCAGTCTTTCTTTCTTTTTATAGATTGTATTGAAAAACTACGAGCATTAAAAGCGAGCGCGGATAGTCAAGTAKCGAGCTCTGCTTCTGGTGCACTATGGGAAATAGAAGAGAAAGCTAAAAGAGGCGAAGACATCGAAGCAAGCCGAGCAAGCCGTAATGACGCTTTCATATCATCTATATATGTATACATTAAATACAATACTTTTCTATGGTCAMTAACTAATCTCTAGTCTCATCTCGCAGCCGTTAGGACGTTCGTTCCAGGTCACTCGTAGGGGGGAGTGACCTGGGAACGAACGTCCTAACGGCTGCGAGAGGAGACTAACTAATCTCGATCAGAGTTGTAAAAGGAATTTCTCATTCTCAATTAATTTAGTTAAAAGAACAGACACCGGTGATGATAACATGCCACATATCATGATTAGCTATCAGTGGGACGTTCAAAACACTATGATACAGGTGAGGACATTCAGATTGAATATAAATAGAAAAATTACAGAAATCTGATTGGAAGCTTGTGAAAATTCGCATATTATGACACGAAGTCTCGAATTTTTACGACGCGCGGATTGCGGAGTTGCGGATTGGGCCATACGCGGCGCGCGGCGCTTGTGACAGCTACTTGCGGGTGTCTAAATCTTGCAAACTTGCAGGTCKTCTCTGTTTTGCAAAAGCACGACAAGATGTCGCTATGAAAACTGATAATAGGAGTAGCACGTCATCTATGTAAGAGCTTGCCGTTTGAAGGGCCGAGCATAATTATATTCATAATTATTTATTTTTTTCTCAAGGTTAAGAACCTCTTGCAGCAAAACGGATTCAAAGTATGGATGGATGTGGAGCAAATGCAAGGATCACTTTCTCAAGCAATGGCTGAAGCAGTCGAGAATTCTGCTTTAGTACTAGTGTGTGTCTCTTCCAAGTACGAAAAGAGCGCCAATTGTACAAGTGGTAGGTTTTTGCTTCCTGAAGCCACCGTGCAACTGTAAATTATTTAAAGTCCTCTGCCGATAGTCGGATAAAATTTGTGAATTAAAATTTTATCCGGCTTTAATATGACTTTTCTACTCATTTTTGACATACTAAGACGATTGGTCGTAGATCAAGTCTAGCTGTTTATAAAATAATTAAAATTATTTTAATTAAAATTAAAATTATTTTAATTAGAATTATTTTATAAACTGCTAGACTTGAAATAATTAAAATTATTTAAATCAAAATTATTTTATAAACTGCTAGACTTGATCTACGACCAATCGTCTTAATATGTCAAAAATGAGTAGAAAAGTCATATTAAAGCCGGATAAAATTTTAATTCACAAATTTTATCCGACTATCGGCAGAGAACTTTAAATAAGTAGTTTAAAACTACTAATGATGGTAAAATCATACAGTAAACTCTAAAAATCCAATTATGACAACATCGTAGTGATGACCATTGAGATTCGCAAGAAGGAAAAATTCTAAAGTCTGACTACAGCTGTAAAATTTAAAGCCGACTATGTTTGCGCTCACCCTGTYGTATCTTAATAAGTGACTGATTGATAAGTCGTTATTGAAATCTCATTTTAGAAGCGAAATATGCTCGTAATTTGAAGAAGAACATCATACCATTGATGGTGGAGAAGAACTTCAAGGCTCGAGGCTGGCTCGGACTTCTTATAAGCGACTATATCTGGTATGACTTCACTGAAACATCTCGATTTCAAGAAACAGCAGATAAACTGATGAAAGAGTTGAAAACTCGGGTTCCTAAGGCCATTGTTGGAGCAAAGCCTATTCCCGCCACAGAAGGTAAGAAATCAGTGTTGCTTCACTTGGCTTTATTTTCAAATGAGTACTTTTGCTTAATCAACTCATTCACTAATTCATTAGCCGGTTTYTTCTCATGTCAGCGAATAGCGATTGTCGAAGGGAAAATGCACGACCGAAAGGGACTATGGTTGCCCGGCCTGTTTTAAAACAAAATTTCGTTTATTGGAYTCACCTTGCATAGAAATGAAAACTAAATTGAGCTCCTTTATTTTTCATGACTTTCATGATGCTTCAATGTTTTTCTCTRTGTTGCTTGGTATTGCCTTTTGTTTTCTAAGTAAAATTTTGTTCTTTAGTTCAGCCAATATTTCAATGAATTACTCCCTCGTGATACGTTTTAAATATCGTTTYGATGCTTTCCCTGCCAYGTTTTCCGTTTATGAATACGTTCAGCCACAAACWATGATGGCGAGTCCATCTTATCTTGTCTCAGTTCTGGCTAYATTTTACAGAACCATCACTTTCAGCGCCTGAAAGTTTGTTTTYAACGAATGCAGTTAATAAATGGCAAGAAAAGGATGTCATTTCTTGGGTCAAGGAGATTGGTCTCAGTCAAAGGTGAGACATTTGCTGCGGAATTCAGCATTCCAAGCTTTAATTATCTACGTATGCAATTTCTTCCAGAGTAAGAGTCGAGGCATTTAATCATTTCAATGGAGATCTTTTAATTGAGCTTTGGAAGTTAAAACAAGAGGTTAGTAGATCACAGCACTGTGTATGAAAACTTGAATAAGAATTTCAGAAATGACCTCGAGTATGTTTTT